TGTGCATCATTTCTAGATAGTCAGAACTTGCTTTTCATTTTTTCCTTATTTTTATTTGTCTTCCTATTAGAAAAACAGGATTCTGAGCCATTTCCAAAGTCACTTGGTGAAGTTAGCTACTCTTGAAAGTAGTTAGCACATATCCTCCATTTCATAAATGATTAACACTCCACTGTAAAAGTAGCTAGAAGTAATGCAGGCAAAAAAAAAATCCTGTTGTAATGTTCCAGAATCTTGCTACTTGTGATAGTTAGATCTTCTCTCCTAATTAATCCTAAATAAATTCATGGGCAGTTTATAACTGTCTACTGCGTGTCCTATGGTTTAAGTAGCTTTTTCTTTACCAAGTACTTTCATCCTCATGATACAGCAATGAGATAAGAAAACCAAGAGTAACAGCAACAGTACCAATGACAGAGGGTGCAAGAAAGGAACAATTCGCACGGAAACCCCCCAGTAATGGGCAATACCCTATGGCTTTCTCTGCCACGCTGCCCCCACCACTCCCTCCAGCTCAGAACCAGCATTACCCAACTGCTCTCTCCAGCTCGGAACTGGGGCCACCCCACCGCTCCTTCCGCCACACTTACTTGACCAGAAGGAAGCCCTTCTCCCTGGAAGAGACTCCTTTCCCCCTCACCTCCAGCAATGATGTGAGGTGGTGTAGAATAACCTTCAGGTCCTAGACATGCCCTCTCCTGGCTACTGCAAAAATTACCCCTGTCCTGGCTGGAACCAGGACAGAGCCTGTCTTGTTGCTTTCTGTTCATCTTGACAACCGTGAACAATTTTTAGGGCCAGCCACTTTCAGAAGCAACCCTGGGACTTGCTGTGTGAACTCAGGGTTGCTGGAGCAGCCAGCAGAGAGCCTTGGGAATGAGTTTCCTGCTGTGCTTTCAGGGCCCTTACCTTGGGATCCTTCACCAGCCCCGATGTCTTCGCTGATCAGGTCCGCTGATTTAGCAATGCAGTATCAAGGTTGAACTGTGCTGTTCCTCAGAACCTTGTGTCTGCCTCTCAGATGTAATGCCTAGCTGAAAATCAACATGAGTTTTGTTTTGGAAATGACTTAGATGCTGTGAAATACAGCGATGGAAAGGAGAATATAGGACCTGTTTTGCAGTTTTGCTTGAACTGATTTTGAAATAAACAATAGTTTGTCATTTGTTCCTAGAACTTATTTTATATTTTGCTCAAAAGCTAAATATTTATAAGAAGCTGGTAGTGTTTTCCTTGTAGAAACTGGAGGCAGAGGCAAATATTGCTCATTTATATTCCTGTGTGGTGACTGAGACAGTAGACCTGTGGAAGTAATAGTGGGAAATAATGTATTTGGAGACTAGGATTATCATCCTCTAAAATGAGAAGTGGAAGATTTCACAGGCAGTATTAATTTTGGCAGTAACTAAATTTGAACTGTTTGGTTTTTGCATTTTGTCAGTAACTACATAGAGATTAGCGAGTATATTTATATACCTACATTTTATTTGATCTTAAAGCTAGAGAGGATGTGATTTTTTCAACTGGGAAGTGAGGTATAACTGTGCCTTAAGCACAGCAGAAAAATAGTCTGAAGACAACCTGGATGCACCCCAGGTCTAAGCATTGGCACCTCATTGATTATGTCTTGGTGCGACGGAGAGATGTCCGCGATGTCCTCCATACCCGCGTGATGCCCAGCGCAGAATGCCAAACAGACCATCGGCTTGCGCGCTGTAAACTCAACTTTAATCTCAAATTCAAACCCAAAAGGGGCAGTATCCCAAGGAGAAGACTCCAAGTTAACGATCTCCAATCAGCCACAGTAAGAGAAAGATTCCAGGCAAACCTTCAAACTAAGCTTGATAACCATTCCACAGATTCTGCAGATTCCTCTCCTGAAACAATTCGGCAGCATATTAAAAGCAGCATCCTACAATCCTCTGAAGAATCCTTAGGGTTCTCCCTCAAGAAGAACAAGGACTGGTTTGATGAAAATAATCAAGAAATCCAGGAATTGTTGAGGAAGAAGAGAACTGCCCACCAAGCACACCTTGCACTGCCATCCTGTCACGCAAGAAAAGCAGCCTTTCGTCTTGCATGCAGCAAGCTCCAACAGAAACTCCGTGACATCCAGAACAAGTGGTGGATCGATCTAGCTGCAAAAACTCAACTATGTGCAGATACAGGGGATCACAAAGGATTCTATGAGGCCCTGAAAACAGCATACGGGCCTACATACCAAGTCCAAAGCCCACTACTCAGTGCAGATGGTCAAACGCTTCTGACAGATAAAACCTCCATTCTGAATCGATGGTCCGAACACTTTCAGACTCTTTTCAGTACCAACCGTGTAGTCCAAGACTCAGCAATTCAGTCCATCACACAACAAACAGTGAAGTATGAATTGGATACTGCTCCCACTTTAGGAGAAACCCTCAAGGCCATACAGCAGGTGAAAATCGGCAAGGCAGCTGGGGTTGATGGAATTCCACCTGAAGTCTGGAAACATGGGGGCCTTGCACTCCATGCTAAATTTCATGAGCTTGTGGTGCGCTGTTGGGAACTAGGCAAACTACCTTCAGACCTTCGTGATGCAGTCATCATCACTTTGTATAAGAAGAAAGGTACTAAATCAGACTGCTCAAATTACCGTGGTATTACTCTGCTCTCCATTGCTGGCAAAATCTTGGCAAGAATACTTTTGAACAGACTAGTACCCGCTATAGCAGAAGATATTCTACCTGAAAGTCAGTGTGGCTTCAGAGCCAACAGGAGCACCACAGACATGATTTTTGTTCTCAGACAACTGCAAGAAAAGTGTAGGGAACAGAACAAAGGTCTCTATGTAACCTTTGTTGACCTCACCAAGGCTTTCGATACTGTGAGCAGAAAAGGTCTTTGGCAGATTTTGGAACGTTTAGGTTGTCCCCCCAAGTTCCTTACAATGATCATCTCACTTCATGAGGATCAGCACGGCCAAGTCAGATATGGCAACGCACTTTCTGAGCCTTTTCTAATAAAGAATGGTGTGAAACAAGGCTGCGTTCTCGCTCCTACCCTATTCACAGTCTTTTTCAGCATGATGCTCCAAAGGGGCACGGCAGACCTTGATGATCAGGACGGTATCTACATTCGATATCGTACTGATGGAAGCCTATTCAACCTAAGGCGACTAAAGGCCCACACTAAGACCCTAAACCATCTTGTCCGGGAGCTGCTCTATGCTGATGACGCCGCCCTTGTTGCCCACACAGAAGCAGCTCTGCAGCGTTTAACATCCTGCTTTGCAGATGCTGCTGAGCTCTTTGGGCTGGAAGTCAGCCTAAAGAAGACAGAAGTTCTCCATCAGCCTGCACCTCAGGAAGTCTTCCATCATCCCCACATCACCATTGGCCAGTCAGAACTCAAATCAGTCCAACAGTTTATTTACCTAGGCAGCCTCATCTCCTCGGATGGTAAGATTGATGGGGAGATAGACAATAGGTTAGCGAAGGCATATAGTGCTTTTGGAAAACTCCATAAAAGAGTCTGGCGTAATAAACACTTGAAGAAAAGCACCAAGATCAGTGTTTACAGAGCCATAGTGCTGTCTACTCTTTTATATGGTTCCGAATCATGGGTCATCTACCGCCACCACCTGCGTCTCCTAGAACGCTTCCATCAACGCTGCCTCCGTACAATCCTAAACATCCACTGGTCAGATTATGTGACCAATACATCTGTTCTCGAACAGGCAGCAATCACAAGTATTGAGGCCATGCTACTGAGAACACAGCTGCGTTGGGCAGGGCACGTCTCCAGGATGAAGGACCACCGCCTCCCTAAGATCCTGCTTTATGGTGAACTTGCCACCGGCTGCCGCAAGAGAGGAGCTCCGAAGAAAAGATACAAGGACTCCCTGAAGCAACAACTCAGCCTCGGGCATATTGATCACCATAACTGGTCTACTCTGGCCTCCAATCGGGAGGCCTGGAGACACACCATTTATAACGCTGCTGATGCTTTTGAGAAAGCACGCAGGATCACCCTTGAGGAGAAAAGACAACACAGAAAGAATCGAGCCTTGCAGAATATACCATCTAAGGAGTCTTTCTGCTGTGTCTTTTGCAACCGGACTTGCCTCTCTCGTATTGGCCTTTTTAGCCACCAACGCGCTTGCAAGAAAAGTGGGTAGAGCCCTTCCCAAATCTTCGTTCGCGAAGCCTAGCCATGATGATGATGATGATATGCTTTTTTCAGTCTTCTAAAACTTTGGGAACACTGTAATGCTGTGTGCCTTCATTTAAGCATATAATGTGCATTCATGTCAGTGGTGTCCAGACCACCTATTTCTCAGAAATTTGTGGGTGGCTGGCTGGTGTAAATTGTAATTCACAAGGATGTTTGTCTTAAAAGCTAAATTAAAGTCCATGTGTTATGGAACTGGAAGTATTCAGTATAATTTTTAATAGCTCTTCAGTTTGTAAAATTGCTTAGAACATAAATAATGCAGGAAAAGTGTAACTGTTGTAGGTGCTTAGCTGTACAGGAAATAATCTAGTACAATTGCTCGACAAGGGGACTGGTTTACATGACACATACCAAGTGCTAGGTGGTTAACTTTATCATGCATTTGAAAAAGACCTGCTTATTTCAAGTCAAAAAAAGATGACAGGCTAAACTTGAATGACTTAAAATACCTCCATCATACTCTATCCACTTTAAAAAATCTCACAGGCTAACATTTTCTGAACTGAGAAAATGAATCTTCTGGTTTCCAATAAAGTCAAGACTTCTGCATTTAACATCTGCTTTTTAAAAGTCATATGGATGCGCCTGATGTCTATGAAATCGTACTTTTACACAAAATAATTTTTGCACTGAATTGTTAGTAACAGAGTGGTTAAATCTCTGAAATACCAGTCAGCATATTTTTCTTTGTTACTTGAGTTTTGTTTTCAATATTTGTTTTCAAGTTACTCTTCGTAGTAACCTCACTCTCTTTTCTGGTTTTCTTTTTATTTTTTTCCCTTATGCAGAGGATTACTCCTTCAGGAAAACAGCAGGTTTTCAGAGGCATTGCATTACTATAAACTGGCAATTGGAAGCAGACCCACACTAGCTTGTAAGTATTTCAACTATACAAGGTTGTATAATATTGACTACAGTTTTATAAAAAATTTTCCTACTCCTTAATAACACTTTCCTTTTTTCAGAAGTTTTTAATTCAGAAAGCAAAAGGTGAAATTGTGCACTTGAAAGCAAGTGTTTATTAGTAAATAACTATGTTTAGTGTGGTACAAGGAAGAAGCACATAATGAGTTAAACTCAGCAGCACAACTAGAACCTAAAATGCTTTTGATCTGGGATGTTGAGCCACAGATACTACTGTCCAAATTTTCAGGCTCTTGTTTGCTGTTCCTTACAGCCACTCCCTGGTATTTATGGTATGCATGAGTAAATAATACAAATATTTTTGAAGTCCTTTCATTTTTCCTTCTTTCCTGGGGAAAATGGAGAATAATCATTGGGATGTTGCCACATGATTGGTTCTAAAATTAAGTGGGTGATTTTTAAGATTGCTGAGACTTTCTTACCTTCAGTATTAAATCTTATATATATGTATATATACATATACATGTATTTATGTATAAGTATATGTATATTTTCTGTAACATTTCAAGCAATCGTGTTATTGCTTGATACAGTCCTAATAAGAGGAACGAAATGGAGTACCCTGCCTAACCATTGTTTCCTTCCCTCCTTACTCAGTCTTTATGGCCACTTTCTTCTTTCCTTTGTCTCTGTACTTCTACCTTTCATATGTTCACATATTCATTATATGTTTATCTATAATAATAATAATATATGATCTGTATTATAAAAAACAAAATTAGATAACCATAGGATCTCTACTAGATGCTACTTTGAATTAAAACAGTAGGTAAAACATAACAAAACTCCATTGAAAGTAACATTTTTTCCCTCTTCACAGCTGCCTATTTGAATACTGGTATCATCCTGATGAACCAAGGGAAGACAGAGGAAGCCAGGAGGACTTTTGTGAAGTGCTCAGAGATCCCTGATGAAAATCTGAAAGATCCTCATGCTCATAAAAGCTCTGTTACCAGCTGTCTTTATAACTTAGGAAAACTTTTTCATGAACAAGGACACTATGAGGTAAGAATCCAGATTTGTCTATTAATATCACGATAAAACATTCATACATAAATAATATCTACTGCTTCCACCTAGACTTTCAAAATACATCACAGGCACACATTTCACCAAATCAAGATTAGCATTCTCTACAGAGAATATTTAGTCTCCACAGCTACAGATGTGATGGTATTAATTAGCAGTGTGATATTCTCATGTCAGAGTCAACATTAGTACTGGTCACATCTGATATGTGTAAATTCATTGGTTTTGCCTTTGTACCTGTAGCTGGTATGCAAAGGATATAACCTGATTACAGACCAGTCAACCTAAAGTGTACTGGCTTTATAATTCAAAACAGGAAAAATGCAATTATGTTTGCTTTTGAGTCTCCAAAAATAAGACCCAGTTGAAACAATTTAAAACTTCAGTGATTAAAAACATCCCACTATGTGCTATTTTCAGATAACTTGACCTAAGTGCTAAAGCGGGTTGGATATTTTTAATGTAAACATATGCTACACCCAAGCCATCCCATCTCATTTACATGTGCAAATGTGACTTGTGATTCCTTTCCATTTTCCCTGATGAATTTACTAAAACTGGACATTCACTTTAGTTTTGACCTTTGGCAGTATTTAGAAGAAAGTCATTCTCTCCTGGCATTGCCAGGCATACTTCAGAAACAGGAGTTGTGCGTGGTTTTGATCCATACAAGTGTTCCTGACCATGACAGTTACCTCAACTGTTTAAGATTAGGCACGCACAAGCTCTGCAGATTCTGTGTCATCTGTCTGCTCATCCAGCTCTGTCAGATGGCTGCTACTAATTGGTTAAAACACAGACAGCTAATGCACACATAGAGGGAAGAGAACAGCAGCATGTTGTCTGCGCAGCTGATACAGTGTAGAGCTGGATGGTTTATATTCTTAAAATCCCTTGCACCTCAATACCTGGGAGGGACTTTAGGAATATAAAACATCATATTTCTGCTTGGTGGTTGTTGCATTCTTGATTTGATCATACATTTAGGTTCTTTTCAAGCATATTTCAGCCTTCATAAGCTGTGACTGTTTGATGCAGAGCTAACAGACTGACCAATAACCATCCAAAGTGCTGAATGAGTAAGTGTGTGATCAAGTAATTTAAGGTACAGCATATTTGCGAAGAGATTCCTGTTTTGGCGTTCTTGACTTTATAGTGCGTCTCATTCTTTCTGTGGAGCAGACTTCGGTTGTGAGGATTATGTTTTGTTATTACTTGGCAGTAGGCATTGATTTCTTTATTTTTAGGTCACGGTGTAGCTTTTTCATCAGAAAGTTCTTTGTCTGCAATTTGATATTACTCCATATTCTTTGACAGCCTGCAGAATTTTATGTCTGTTTATAAACTCATCAGTCATTAAGGGGTATAAAACAAATGTTCTTGTTACTTCTGCCTGGGAAAAGAGATGCAATATTGGAACTAATCTGATCTCTTGTCAATAAGCTTCACTGAATTTGGTAAAATTCAGGTAAAAAAACTCTTTAAAGGAGAAATTTGAACTTTGTGTGATATTTATGATGCTGTTGTGTTTTCTCTCTGCACCATTCATTTGGGGAAGGAAGATAGTTTGGTTTTACTTTATATGTGAAAGTATGCTTTTGAAATTTTTGCTTTCCCACTTGTGTGTCTCTTTTCAGGATGCCCTTATGGTTTACAAAGAAGCAGTACAGAAAATGCCAAGGCAGTTTGCACCACAGAGCTTATATAACATGATGGGTAAGTACATTGTTAGTGCTTAAGAATAATATCTGAGGAGTCAGGCAGGGTGAAACAAAAGAGCTTAGCCAGGCAACTGGTGCTCAAATGTATATAATGGCCAGTCTTCGCGAACGAAGATTTTGGGAAAGGTCTTTTACCTTTCAAACCTGCGCAATGGATTTTTTAGGTGAGACACAGCATGCGCTGAACTGAGCCCACCCTTTAATCCTAAGGTTCATCTGCCGGGGCCAAGCAAGCTTGGACAATGGCAGTGAGGTCCTCAGGACGTAGGTTTGTTTAGAGTGACCTTCTCATAGATGGATGGCCTCACAGGGCTAACAAGCTCCATCTGCCCGGGGGACCGAGGAATCGAACCTGGGTCGCAGCGTTGAGAGTCCTGCATCCTAACCACTAGGCCACCAGGGGTCCCTGGTGCTCAAATGAATTAGCTAATAAACCCCTAAAATAATTACCTTCAGTAGATACAAGCCAAAATAGGTTCAGAGCTTAAATGTCAGTAACTGCAGTGCTGGATAAGGCACAATAAATGATGAGATTATTAGATACTGGATATCTTGAAGAGTGTCAATGCAGCAGTTTTACATTTAGAATGTGTGGATTAGTGCTTTTCTCTGCCTCTAGAATTTCTCATCCACTATCTTGGAGGCCCAGTGTGCAATTCATACTTGGTGTTGTGTTTTTGTTTTTTCTTTAGATCTCTCATATATCTTTGAAACTTTGTAAAAAATGAAGTGAGATTGATTATAACGTAAAATTTAGTGTGGGGAATTAGTTTTTGAATTGCCTTTCAAACCAACAAGGTGTCCAAATAGGCCCACAGAGATGGTTGGACTCTTTTTTTAAGTTGTGCCAAAAACTTATTTCCCAGCTGACGGACTTTTGGTTAGACATCTACAATGGGAGAATTCTTCTTCCAGCTATCTGTCTTTCAAAATTTTAGAAGAGTCTCTTGAGTACTGCAAAAAACATCAATTTTGCTGTGAGGTGTTTTATTTAATTTCAGCTCCTCATATTCTACATCACATCTTTATACATGATACATTAAACAGATAAAGGAAAGAAGAAAATATTAATTACTCTTTTTAGTACTCAGATCTGTAAACAAGAGAGTAGATTCTTATTGCTCCAGAGATGTTTTTAAGTGGAATTTTCTCTGAAAGGACGTGTTTCTGCTAAGCAACCTCAATGTCTGGCCCAGTACTCTGTGAGCTCCCCTCTTGGACAGAAAAGGATGTAAGAACCTTTACTTTAAAGTAGTTCAAAGTAAAGCAATTAAAAATATATGTGGAAACAATTAGGGCCAACAGGAAGCATGTGGGTTTTTTTTGTGATTCCCCCCACCAATGCCTAATGTACAAGAGAGTGTATTGGTTGATACCAATTGGTTTGACACAGTTGTTGAAAGGAGGCACCACTCACTCTTCTCTACTTATTCAAGAAAGGCATCTTTTAGTAGCACCTTAAAAGTACTAGGGCACAGGGAAAAAGTAAAATTGTAGTTGTAATTGATGCTACATATTTGAAAAATGTAGATGTAAATGCTAAACTAAGTTCTCTTGTCATAGTGACAAAGCATTTAATGTCAGTAACAGTCTAAACACTTCCTTAGCAGTTCATATGGTTCAATGGAGAGTTACTTCTCCATGGATAATGAACTTTATCAGATTGATGCCAAGGGCTAAAATCTGTAAAACGGACAAATTGGTTACTTCATGTACTTTTGTTCATAGTGAGTCTTAGTGAAATTATTGTTTTATCAGTTTTATACTGCTGTTGTAGTTTAGGTATCACTGCAGTCACACCTATAGTGACTGCTGAAGTACTCCTGCATTATATGTCACAGATTATTCTGAGTCGGAAGGGGTCCACAAGGATCATTGAGTCCAACTTTTAAGTGAATGGCCCCTATGGGGATTGAACCTGCAACCTTGGCATTATTAGCATCATGCTCTGACCAACTGAGCTAATTTCAGGACCACTGCAGTGCTTGAGCAAATCCTCTGAAGTTTGACTGCCCTCTTTAGTGCAGATATGTATTTCATAATTCCGATCAAAGTGTTCCTCAGAAGTATAAAATTTGAAAAATTAAACCGACACTGTTTCTAGCGTGATGGTTGTCCCATTACAAAGCAGGCCTGTGCCACCCTTTTTCTTTTCCCATGAATAGATGTTCCCTTTAGAACCACTATGACCTATAAGTTTCTCAGGTTTTTACTTTTTTTGCCCATTGGTTACTTTTTTAGGTTCAGGAGGCGTTTCTCAACTTCCTTTGTAAGCACTGTCCATGACATCCAAGTGCGCTCTGTTCCTGGGATTTGCATTTATTAACTCACAAAACCTTAGTGAACACAAAGACTAGCTCAAGTCCTTTGCCCATGCTTGGCTTCTGCTATATTTCCTCCCTCTCTTCCTTAGCTCGTACTCCAGCTTCTGCTTCCTTTACAGCTAACAGCACTTCACGGATGTCCTAGTGGCATAACAAGCTATGGTCGATTGAGTGTACCTTAGCCCCTTATGGAGCTCTGTGAAGTTTAGCTTATCATTAACATAGGATATATTTGTGTTTTGGTTGCTATTGCGATGGCAGTTGTTGCAGGGAAAACAGAAATTGCTTCACGCTGGTTGCTGAGGTGTTGCTTGTAGGTTATGCTGCAAAGGCAATTCAAGAGGCTGCGTAATGAGTTGGATAGTGACTTGAATACAGTGCAGCTATATTAACAGGACTCAGACTGATTTGTTCAAAGCTGTCCTGTATGTGTCTACATAAGCCTACATGACTCCAGTTAGTCTCTCCTACCAGTAATAGCATAAAGGTTAGATGGCAAGACAGAGCTAGGTAGCTATGCTTCTTTATAGTGCGGAAAGAAAACCATATCTCTAGGGACTAATGAAGCCCGTCTGACTTAGACATCTATTTTAGATTATAAAAATAATCCCCTGCAAGCATACTTTTCCTCTAAAAGGAGCTGAAATGACTAGCTTAGACTTAGTAGCTTAAGTTGGGTGAGATAAATCCTAAATACCTATTCACTCATCTCTTTGCATTGGGTGTGATAGGAGAACAAGGCAACTGCATCTGTTATCAGGCGTGCATCTACTTTGCAGCTCGTACTGTGTCACTGAGTATCAGAAGGCTGACTGGATTGTTTATTTCTGTTTTGATGTTCAAGACAAAGTTATAAACATGTTCACTATAACACTTTCTTTGATAAACAGCATTTTATAAGCTTGTCTGCCTACTTCTCACCTTTAAAAGGGAGACTAGTGGAACTGAAATAGGCCAGTCCTGTCTCATGCACTTGCATCCGTATAAACCTGACTGAGCTGTGCCCACTCACTGTATGCTCATTGGTGGGGAGGAAGGGGGAGAAACTGGGGAGTGCTTCCCATCTGCTTGGGAACTAGTAGAAGGAAGTAGTCCTTCCCCATTTCCCTGCATGTGGAAAAAGTTGTCACAGCTTGTCATGAAATCCAAGAATAGTTACAGTTTGAGGATTATCTGCTGTGGTTGTTATTGTGATTAAGGTATTCTGAGTCTCTGGCAATCTCTCTGCTTGGTTGAGTGGCGCACATATTACGACATATTGGCATACGATATAAGAAAACAGTGCTTCCTCTAGTTTTTAATAATTATTCAGTCATGTAATTGAACTTTTTTTTGAGTTTTTTTTCCCCCGTATGATGTCCATGACGTACTTGAAAGAGAATAAACAGGAGATGAACTGTTTAAACTGAATTAGGTTTGAACTCCAGCACTCTGAGTGCAGTAGCATTAACACTCCAGCAGTGCTAAGCCTTTATACCACCTGCTTTCTCTGTTTGTGTTATACTTCTTTTCCTGTGCTTACTTCTATTGGCCTTTTGGTCTGACAAGCCTAGTGACTCATTCCTCTGGTGTGTCAGTCTGCCTGACAGACTCTCATTCTTTAAAACGCTAAATAACTTGCCTCTTTAAGGGAAAAAGAAGTACTGGGGCTCAAGAAGCAGGCCATCCATTTGACTTTGCATTTTATTCATGGTACAAAAGACAGGGCCAGAATACCAGCATCAGATGTTCTACATTTGTGCATATGAAAAGTTGCAGAGAAGATTTTGGTCTCCTGTTGCCATGATTTATTTTGCCAGGTGTGCAAAAACTCAGCTAAGGAAACCATATGTTTCTCTGGCTTTACACCAAGAAATAAAACATTTTCTTTTTTTTTTTTTTTTAAAGAACTCAGAACAGCTAAAAATTGAAACTCTAAAACTAGAATCAAAATAATTATTCAACAAGCTGTATAATGTTGGCTTTGTATTTATTTTCTCTATGTCATATTTCTTTGATGTAAATTAAAAAGTACATACTAAGGTTACACAGATTAATTTGCTTGGCATGGCAACTTGTGCTACAAAGACCAGAGTCCAACTCAGCTGTATAAAGTAGGTAATATATTTTGTTTAAAGTTTCAATTAAAGCCTGAGGTCAAAAGATAAAATGGTCCCAGTGGGATCTTGAATGCTTTAATGCCAATATTAGGATTGCTTAAGGATCAGCCTCTGCTCTAGATGTCTTTTGCGTTCCTTGAAATCTGATATTGTACAGTTGATTGTATTACATTGCTTTTAAAACCACACTAGCCCACCTGCTACAGTAATTCATACTCCTGATGGTTAAGTAGTGTGAGGTGGACCATGGAGGCTTTATTTTAATACCCAACAGTAACAAGAACGATGTCAGGGCAGCATCGTTCAGGTTTAGGTTGGCATGATACTGTCTTAAAGACAAATTTCTTGATTACATTTCATCTGCCCTTGCTAACTAACATCTGTCTATTTTCAAATGCATTTAATGCAAAGCCTAACAAACATTTTTTATGAGAAATGCAAGTTACAAAAGAAGCTAACATTCCAGGAGCGAATACAGCTCATGATGCACAAATTAAAGTTTAGATTTCTCATTTCTAATCTTCTGCATGGCACATGGACAGAAAACAAATCATACACAAGTGTACAGACCA